CAAATCACAAGTGAGAAACAGCTGACACAAAGCCCATGCACTTGTCTCCTTGGAAAGAAGGCAGCAAAGCCAGCCTTAGACAAGAATGGTCACTTGATAGTGCATATAAAATATAGATACCTGATGTAGCAAACCTGATTATCAAGTTCCCCTTCTCTCTGTGGATCATCCTGAGTTTAATTATTGAGAGGGCAGAGCAAATGGGTCTCCTGAGAAGCTGCTCTGCCTCGGTGTGGAGAGGCATCGGGGAGTGACGGGGTCTGCGGTGCTACTCAGGGAGAGGTCACACCTCTAAAGGGGCAACTGTTGTATGAGACTGCTGGCCAGGATTCTGATGATTCAAGAGTAGCTGCAAATCTGCATTATTTGTGATGTTCCTGATGTTTAAACTTTAGAAGCAAATTCAGATTTTTAAAAACATTGCAGGCAAAAGAAAGCTCCTCTTTGGGCCATATTTGGCCCATGAGTCACCAGTATCCACTCCTTGTTTAAGGATACTGCCATGAAAAGAGTATGTTTTTAAAGGCTTAGGTGCTTACAGGGGTTATATCCAGCTATCTGGAACATTGCTGGCTTCCTCAACAGTGCTGGTGAAGGAAGATCTAGCCCCATTCTCTGGATCATCACCCCAAGAGTGCGTACCCTGTGAGGGGCCTGTGGGCCTAGGTGGGGCCTGGTTCTGAGGGCGTATGAGATGTCCCCAGGAAGTCTCTGATCATCCTAGGAGGAGGAGCCCATCCTCAGGGGTCTGATGAATTTTGATGTGTCCCCCCTTTTCCCATCCCACCTCGAGGTGGGACTACCTGGGAAGTCGATGCTGGCCATGATGTGAAGCAAGGCAGGGACATTTAACAGCCCTTGTTTGTGAGAGCTGATGGGTCCCCAGTGAAATTAGGTCCTGGGTTGACTGATCCATGACACTGTGTATGATGGAGCTGCAGCCGAGCTGGCAACACACAGCTGCATCGTGTTCCCTTAATTTTTGAGGCCCGGAATAAGGGAGTGCTGATGAGAGTGTAGCATTAATGGGGCTCCACGGGCAAGGGCGGATGGAGCTGCCAGGCTGGGGGAGGTTTTGTAGCCGCAGAGGTAACTAGGGCCCACTCAAGCAGTTGTGATCAATAAAAGATGTTGCTCTGCCAGGAATAGCAGACACATAGCCTGCTCTGCAAGTCGGGCTCAGTCCATCTGTGCATCAGGCAGCGCGGAAAGTGCTGCTTTCTCCTCCATTATTCCTAACCAGCACGTCTTGAGAGTCGTTGTGGAGAGAAAAACCATCAGCCCACACATTTGTTATCCTGCTTCTCTCTCCCAAGGACAATAGCAGATACAATCCCCAAGTGCCTTCTCGGTCTTTGATTCTGCTGCTGTAATTGACGGAATCGTTGTGTGCTGATGAATGTAGACCCGTCGCTGCAACCTAACAGCACACCCAGGGCTTAACACGTGCAGCTCCCGTTCTTTTAATGAGTCTCCCCCTCCTCCAGAAGGGGCTGGGGAGGGAAGGGACTCAACCAAGCCTTTAATTTGTGGAACACAGAGGCTGAGGAATTCAGCTATTGGATAAATCAGGGAGGGCTCCAGGGCAGGGGGGTGGTTGAAACACACCCAGAGGGTCATTTGGCTGTGAGCATCAGAAACCTGGCAGAGTACCTGGTTTTTGACATAGCAGCCCCGTTGGGTGATATTTGATTCTGTTTGATAATTTGACTGTGGTAAAATATATATAGGAGTCACTGGGTGGCACAGATGGTTAAGCACTGGACTACTGACTGAACGTTGGTGGTTCACACCCACTCAGGGGTGCTTCAGAAGAAAGACCTGGTGGTCTGCTTCTGAAAGTTCACAGCCTTGAAAACCCCATGAGCAGTTCTGGTCTGCAGTTCATGGGTCATCATGAGTTGAAATTGACTCAGTGGCAACAACAACAAAATAAATAAAACAAAAAACTGACCATTTTAACCATTTTTAAGTATGCAATTCAGTGACATTAATAATTGGGATAATATAATATTTGTCCTTCTATGCCTGGTTTATTGATTTTTTTTTAAGGAAATACATCATTTACGGAATTTATTTCAAGGAAATAGCAAAGCTTTATTATATACAAAGATGTTCAACCCAGCATTGTTTATATTGTTCAACCCAGCATTGGAGATAACTTAAATGCCCAGTAGGGGAATGAGTAAATACATGTCTACTAAGAGATTATTATGTAGATATATTCATATCTGTGCTTTGCTATTTTGTAATTGTGAACTTGGGCAAGTTATGTAACCCATAAACCTTCCTCATTCGTAAAGTCTGCGTAATTGTAGCACTAACTTCATGGGTGGTTAAGTCAGATGATGTGTGTAAAATATTGGCACGGGCCTTTTGATCAAGCACTCGTTGGATCGTGACCATCCTCGGTGGTAGTGACTGCTAAAAATTGTGAGTTTGAAGAATATAAGTTTTCCCCACTATCCAAAAATAGAACATTGCTATGAAATCTTTTGTAAGCTGAAATGGTGTAAAGCAAAGAAACAGTTACCATTAACTTATATGGGAAAAATTCTTGAGCATTCCCAGACTCAAAAAACAACCTACCAGATCATACCAAATAACACATAAAACCTGAAATCACACTGAAATATAGTGTTCACAGACACAGTTCAAACCTGTGGTGGCTTGAGGCTAAGAGGCTTAGTGTAGTTCCCAGGGAGGGAGCTTGATGGTGCCACTCTCACTGCTCAGCTGCCTGTTTAATGGCTGCCTACAAAACAAACGGTGAACACTACTTTTGCTTTTCACCTTTTATCGTAAAAGCAAAAGTATTCTTTGGATCTCTTTTGGTTAGCGAAAACAGGTACTAATACAGGTATTTCATGAATGTACAGTAATGCACAGTGAACTTTCAAGAAGCTGGGTATACCCTTACTTAATGACAGGATATAAGTGAAGTGTAGAAATTCATACAATCCAAATGTCATTATGGATCTCTGTTTTTATATGGGGAGCCCTGGTGGTGTAGTGCCTAAGGCATTTGACTGCTAACTAGAAGGCTAGTGGGTCAAACCCACCAGCCATTCCTTGGAAGGAAGGTTGGACAATCTACTTAAGACTAGAAGGAAATACTACCAAAATGTTAACAGTGAATGTCTCTGGGGTAGAGTTGTAGGTATATTTTATCTTTTGTTTTGGTTCAGATTTATGTTACATTTTGAAAGTCTAGACATGTTCAAACAGACATAGCTTTAGGAACATCAACTCTGGCATATACAGGTAGTTCCCAGCCTACAGTGGAGTTCTGATCTGACAACTCCATTGTAAATCAGTTCTGACGTAAATTGAATACCTCATTTTCTTTTCTTTACTTTTTTCAGTTTTCATTATTACTGCCACAGCTTGCTGTACCGTAGTGCTTTGAACAGTAAACCATAAATTGAACATTTGTGGCTGAACATTTGAGAACGAACATCAGCAAATTACATGCTGCAGCATTGTATATAGTGCTACATATTACTAATGATAAGATGTGGAAAAAAAGGAAAAAACAGATGGTTGTAAGTGTGGTCCATTGTAACTCGAAATCATTGTAAGTCGGGGCCTACCTGTATATTTATTGCTCAAATTTGCACATGCCTATCAAATCCATTAAATGAAGTATCTTTTCTTTTTTTGTGTGTATATATATATATATATTTTTTTTTTTTTTTCCAGTACATTCCACATTTCTGCAGGGAGTATCTCAGTATTAAAAAATATGTATTTGTCAAAACTTATCAAAGCTTACATTTCAAATATATGCAGTCTGGTGTATGACAGTTATACTTCAGTAAGTATGTGAAAATAACGACAGATCCTTCTTACTCTCCCACTGAACCAAGGGTGTGGAGAGTCTGGGCTATGCGCAGAGCGAGGGCTACAGTGGGGAGACTAGTTTCTGTAGGGGACGGGCACATAAGCCTCAGATACAGTAGGATCTATAGTAACCAAGATGCAGGGCAGACTAAGGGGTGAGGTCAGGAAAAGAGGAAATTGCTTCTCATCAGGGTGATTGGCCACATTTAGGGGACAGGTGTCCTGGCCTGTATCATTTCGTGAGCACTTTTCCAGAGGTGATTAGTACTGCAGGGGGTGGTGGTGGGAGATGTAGAACTGAGTGAATGAACCTGCCTGGGCCCTGGGTTACTCAGAATGAGTATGAGGTTATAAAGTGGCTAAGATGGGGAGACAGAATTCCATACAGAGGAAGAGTAGGAGCAAAGATATGTGTACATGGCATGATCCTTTAAGCAGTTAGGATTGGAAGCAACCACAGTTTTCAGGGCAAGGAGGTGAGGTGTTAGGGCCATAGCAGAAGAAGGATGGAGAGTAGGGGCATGGGATGAGTGGCCGGGGGAAGGCTAACTCCTCAGGGACTAGGAGATGAATGATGGGGGTGGTGGGAGGGGAGAGAGGGAAGGAAGTTGAGGCATCAACCTGGTGGATGGGAGGCTGGTGGGGCCAGTGCCCAGGGGGTTACCGGGTGCCAGGTCTTTTAGGAAGGGCTAGCCTTAGAGGGTAAGGCTGGCGGTTCAAACCCACCAGCCACTCCTCGGAAGGAAGGTTGGGCATTCCTACTTCTGTAGTGATACTGCCTCGGAAACTCAAGGAGGGGTCACTATGAGTCGGGTCTGACTCGATGGCAAACAACAACAACAACAACAAGCCTTAGAGGGTGGGAGGGTTTGGATGTTTGGAGCCAGGAATCTGTGTGGTGTGTGGTGGCAGGGTGGTAGGGAATTGTGCAAGGCTTTGGATTTAGATCCTATACTGTATTAGCTGTGTAACTTTCAGAAGTCCCTTAGCCTATATACCTCAGTTTCTTCATCTGCAGCACAGGGACATCGGCACTGCTTTACGGATTTGCTCAATAAGAGTGAGCTGTCAATACTAAGCAGTGATAGTATATCATCTTCATCAGACTTCTTTGTGGATGCTCTAAAGTGGTTTTTTTTTTTCTTCTGATCTTTCAGATTGCCAGTGTCCTGATGTCACAGAGCCCTTCTGTCCTCCTTACTCTGGTAAGTGGCTGCTGGCCAGGGACTGAACAGTATCTGGGCACAGAGGAGAGGGCTAGGGGGCTTCTTGGCCCTGCAGCGGTCAGGGTCCTAGGGGAGGATTGAGAAACCGAGAGGAGGCGTCTGCAGTTCCCGCCCCAGCCTCTAACACATGGTTTCCATAACAAATAGTAACACCTTCTTAGCCAGAACAACTGACCATGTCCAGAACCACGTTCTCAGTTCTCACATTCTCCCTGGGATGGGCATTGTTCTGTCGTGAGTCCACTGTGACAGGTTCAGACCTGAGCTGGAAGATGTTTTTGTTTCAGGCTGAACTAATGGGGTTTATGGGAGTAAAATGTCCATTTACTTCTAGCCTGGTTCTCCTACATTGTTAATATAATTTGAAAAACATACCCCTGGCGCTTGCCTGTGAGGTAGGTGAGCTGAGCTGTGAGGCACCAGATTTTGAACCTGAGGTGGTGAATGGCATAGGACCTCCTCTGCCCTTCAGCCTAATGGATAGGCCTGTGTGATGGGCTCCTGGTGCCTGTCGGGGTGGGGGCTGTCAAGGCTGAGAAATACCTTACAGAAGGATGCTTTCTTGCCCTTCTTTGACCTTGGGAGTTTCAAATATGAAAAGTATGTAATTCTCCCCACCCCCACAAAGTTACCCTCTCCCTTGTTAATTGATTTTATAGAAATGGTTTGCTGCTCTGGTTATGTTTTTAGCACTTTACGCAGTCTCCTTTTTCCTCTCTGCTGTTTTGATAGCTAAGAAGGATGGCTGTGCTAGGTGATTGTGGTTAGAGGGTTTAATGTGTATTATTTAGCTGTACAAGTAGACGTTGACCTGAAGTTCTTGAGGAATACGTGGAGATTTAAAATGCCTTTCCTCTCTGAGGATAGCAGTTTTCCTCTGATGCCCAACGTTGTTTCCACATTCTGAGTTCCTTTCAGAGTCTCATACAGTTAGAAAAGGAGAGGTTGTGATAGAGCTTTGTGGTGTCACTCTGAGAAAGGCCCTTTCTGCGGAACTGGATCTGACCCATATCTCTGGAAGGACTGGATTTGATTATCCAGATCTAGTAATGTCAGTGGGTGGTGTGAATGGTTAATGCCATTAAGGTTGGTGGTTCAAGTCCACCCAGAGGTGCCTTGGAAGAAAGGCCTGGCACTCTACCCTGAAAAATCAGCCATTGAAAAGCCTATGGGGCACAGTTCCACTCAGACTCACATGGGGTCACCATGAGTTAGAATTGACTCCTGGAACTGGTGTTTAATGTTGGTGTAAAGCCTGTGTGCGAGAGAGAAGATGAGGCTTACTGTGGGAGATTGGATTTGTTCATGGTGTCTCTGCTCCTTTCTCTTTCCAAGCTGTGACATGATGTTTGCCCCTGAAAGAAAGGAAGACCTGCCTTTGGCCAGCTTGGAGTTACTTGGCTTGTCAAAGAAAGCTGCGGGGCGGGGGTCCTAGCCTGGCAGTAGGCCACCCTCGTGAACACGCCGTGATCTCATGCTCTCTCTCTCTTCCCAGCGTGGCGTCAACACGGACAGTGGCAGTGTCTGCAGGGAGGCCTCCTTCGAGGGCATCAGCAAGTGAGTCCTGGGGCCCTGGGAGCATGATCTCTCTCTCCACCGCACTGGCTCAGCCCATCACCAGCAGGTCTTTCCTGCTCTACAAACTAGGTGTGAAACACACATACAGGAGGACTCTAAAAGAAGTTAGACTGGGTATTTTGAGGAATATTTAACAAAATAATTTGCTTTCTCTGGCCACAGCTTTTACTTTAAGAAAGGGATGCCTCTTCTCTTGCTCTGTATAATGAATGTGCTGGCCCTTCCGAGTATTTGGGGAGCCTGGCTGGCCCAGTGCAGGCAGCAGGATTGGCTGTGTTCTTTCTTGAGATCTGCTCTCAGCTCTGTGTTCTCTGTTCTGAATACACCCTTTGACATACAGCCCTCTCCCCTTTGTCCTAGTCATTCACTTTTCTCAGCCCAGCTCTCAACAATTTTCCCTTGGTCCCCGCTGCCCCAGTCCCAGGCAAGAACCCTTCTTACCTGCCCTCACTCCTCAACTCAGCTCTATGCTGAGCCCCCGAACCCTGTTTGGGAACAAGTTCCCCCTTCTAGGCCTCTCCAGGCAGGAAGGCAGATATCGGGCACAAGGAGAGTAGCAGCTCAGCCTCCTTGGGCTGGCAGGCACAGCAGACAAGCCCTCAGGAGAGGCACCTGCTCCCTGAGGCTGCTCCCAGCTTGTCCTCTCTGTACCTGGATACCCAGGCTCCTCCCCTCCCCCCCACCGTGGATGCTCTGCAGCTGCGATACGGAGGCAGTGACAGAGGAAGTGCCTCATAATTATGTATGAGCCTGAGCCTCGGGAATTGTGTGTATGTGTGATGTAGAGGTGATTAGGAAGGATTATGAGCTCATAAATATGTATCACTTTCCTCAATGATAAGAGCGATAGCACAGGGTGTAGGGGGGTGAGTCTCAGGTTTGTTCCTTTTTTATTGCACAAATCTCTGCATCCTCTGTGGAGTTTCCCCAGGGTGGCCATGCTTCCCATACCTGAGGTGATTAATCAAGCTTGTTGAAATGCTGTCCATGGGGCCACTGCCTCTTTCTAGGCCCTGGGGGATTGGAGGCCACACTTGGCTGCTCCCTGTCCTGGGCTGGACCTCCCCAAGTCCCTCTAGTACTCCATGTGTCTTCCCATCCTTCTGAATTCCTCAACCAACACCGTGGAATATCTCTGCTGTCCTGTGCCCCACCCCACACCTGCCCGCCACCCCAGCCTCTGCTTGGATTTTTGCCTTGTAGAGAGGGCACTGAGCTGGAGGTGGGAGTCCTGGTGGCGGCCTCACAGCCAAGCCCTGTGGCCTTGGCAAGTTCCTTCCTCTATGAGCTTTGGCTCCCCTGTGGTGCTGCTGGGCCTTGCTGTGAGGAAGAAATGAGATCACACTCACCAAAAGCCTGGCCTGGAGCTGGGGCTTTGCAAACAGTTGCCCACAAGCAAGCCCCTGATCAGGGCCCAGTGCCTCACTGGACCTCAGTCCCATTGTTTGGGCATTGGGACCAGGTGGACTCTAGGATCTCTGACTACAAGATTCCTTGATGTCAGTGGGGCTGCTTGGCTGTGGGTTCTTTGCATGCCCTTCTCCAGAGTTCTCTGCTACAGGGAATGCCTTCTCAGCACTCCCAGGGCCAGGTCGGTGAGGGCTGTTGTAGGCATGGTTCAGGAATGTGACCCTTGTAAGCAGAGCTCTGCTGTCTACTTTGCTGGAGAAGATGCCAGTGGGGCCCCCAAGGACATCATTGCTGCCTTCAGGGCAGCAGAAGCGGAGGCCTCGTCGCACCCCACTTAGAGTGTTCATCCCTGTGAACTCCAGCGTCTCTTCTGGCAAACAGACCCTCGTCTGTGTCCTCAGCTGCTCTCCTGAGCCCCTGAGGCCAAGAGCCCAGAGGAGCCTGTGCTTCGCCGAACTCCCACCCAGTCAGCATTTGGGAGGCTGTTTAGAGAGCCAGAGGCTGCCTTAAGCTTGAACAATTTCCCCAGACATTGAGCTGATACCTCCCCAAACTGTGGTCCAATCTATAGTGAGAGGCTGATGTGCTCACTAGACCCCTCAGTTGAGAGAATGCCCTTTATGTGTGAGTTGGGTGCATTGAGTTCCCACATCCATATGTTGAACTGCTTGTTGGTTTTTCTGAGTTGGCCTACATGCTGCAGGTAAGATCCTTCCCACATGTCTCTTTGCTTGGGGTCCCCTGGCCTGCTTGTGGTGTTCTCACTCCTCTTTGACCCCTAGGAGTCTTGCCTCCTCATGCTTTACTCTGGACCCCATCCCATTGGATTGCCCTTTCTGTAGCTCCAATCTAAGGAGTTGCTCCATCGGGACAGGATCCTGCAGTGAGTCGCCATGTCCCCACCCTGCAGACCATGGGCACTGACGCTGGGTGTCCACCTCTGCCTTTAGCCACCCCTTGAGCTCTTTCTCTGTAGAGACCATTCACAGTCATGTCTGTGTTCCTGGAGTTGGGGTGCCTCCCACCCGCCCAGGTTGCAGCATCTTGACTCTACTACCTCCTGCACTCTGTGCCAGGCTGGAGAGACAGCTTGTCCTTGAGTGCCGTGGCAGCTCAGACGACCCAGCAGACCACATTCACCAGCCTGCCGTGAGTGTCTCCAGCTGTTTGCTGAGGATAATAATAGCTGTTTCCTAAGCAAGATGAATCTTGCTGTTCTACTTTCCATTGCTCAACTGTTCCTGTCACTGGCCATTCTCACTGCCCTAATGAAACTCCTCCTTACTTCCTGGAGTTGGTTTTTTTTTTCAACAAAACAAAACTATTTTAAACTTCTCAGAAATACCTCCTTCCGTCTGTATCTTTGGTTGATCTCTTGCTTTTAACAGAAGAAGTTTAGGTTTGGCTTATCTGTTTGTCCTTATGGACCATCTTAGGCTGCCTTGACCTGGAGGGAGCGAGCTTATAGTAGAACAGTGTCTTCATCTATCAACTCATCCCAGGGCCCTGGTCCAGCTGGACAGTCAGCCTGTGACCTTTCCAAATGTAGCTTCTCAAGGTTATTTGCCTGCTACATTTGGGCTCAGCCTTGGTGGGCTGTGAGTTTGGTCCTGGGAGAGCCAGACCCTCCCTCCTGCCCTGAGGCCTCCCTCAGCCTTCTCAGATCAGACCATGTGGGGAGCAGGCATGTGCTGGGTCTTGTGGTGGGGCCAGTGGTGGACTGGGAGCATAGGGAGCAGGGAGGCAGAGGTGGTAGGCTCTAGGCCTGGGAGGCGAGAGGGATTCCCCATGGCCTGAAGCCCCTGGGCTCACTAAGGGCTTTGGCCATGTCTTCCCTGGGGAACCAGGTGAAGGGAGCAGGCAGAGACAGTCTTCCCCTGGCCTGGTACTGGGTTTGGGATCTGACCCAGGCCATGCCTCTGTGTATGACCTGACTGGAGTGGGGAAGTTCACAGGGAAGGTGTTTTAGAAGCACCAGCCTGGATATGGGCTCTGGTGGGAGGACAGGGTTTGTGGCAAGTGGGGTCAGACACTCATTGTCAGGTCCTGGTGACAGAATAATAGAATGGCGGTCTGGGGGCCAGGGAAGGTGAGATGTGAAGGGTAGCTCTGGCGCTAAGGCAGTCAGTAGCACTTAGCTAATGCAGGTTGGGAGTAGAGTCATACCTGATACATCTTTATTAGCATCCAAGGAAGTAGCTTTGAGGGCACAATTTCCTGAGAGAGACACACTGACCATGAAGGGAAATAGATGGTCTGTGGGGGCCAGGTTGCCTGAACCCAGGACCCATACACTGCCCATGAAGTCTACAAAGCTTGGTGGTGGTAAGCTTTCTAGCAGGAGACAGTTCACTCCAAAACAGGTGGAATCTGCCCTGGAGTCCTGGGCTGGGCTGTGAGTTACAGAGGACTCTGTCCCATGCAGTTGGCTGAGAAAGAAATATAGTCGGTATTTTATATCAGCTGGTTATTAAGGGTGAGCATATTTCTCATCTTTTGACATTTACTTAAATTGCCTTGCATATTTGAAGACAATTGGTTACAAATTAATCCATTTAAATAAGCAGTTAAATACAAAATTGCTGAATTTGAGGGTTGTTAATGCAGACATATTAATATTCAAAGATGTGAATTTTAAAACTCAGGAAGTAGAGGGACATTATTAAAACTTGATGATCACAGCAAAATGCCAATTTGTAGTTCAAGGACCATGGCTATCTGGTTACCATTAACTTGCATGTCAAGTTAATATTTAGGACTGAGTTTCTAGTTATAGCCATGGAACCCTCTTTAGGAAAGGGATCCTGAGGAGGTAAGAATCTGCGACAGTTCCCTTGCTAGGAGTGCAGGATAGGGGGTCTTTCTGGGGCCTGTTCCCTGGGCTGGGCCTGCCTGCTTCATTGGATTGGAGACACCAGGGGACATTGGGCCTACACTTCTCACCCTTCCATGTGGAAATTACCTTCCTGCTTCTGAGACACTCTCCCATCCTTACAGGAGCTGGTGGAGTTTTGTTGTGGCGTAGTGTCTAAGTCATTTGACTGCTAAGCAGAGGGCGAACTACCAGCCACTCCTTGGAAGGAAAATTGGGCAGTCTACTTCCGAAGAGATATCACCTTGGAAACCCAAGGAGGGGTTGCTATGAGTTGGAATGGACTTGATGGCCGTGAATTTGGTTTTTGAGGGTTTTTTTTTTTTATTGTTATTATTATAGAAAATGCTAACCAGCACAGAAGCAACATAAGGAATATTAAAAATTCTTTTATGTAGAGTTAAACCTATCAACAGTTTAGTAATAAGGAAATCTTTTTGATTCTTCTGTGTGTCTGAGTGTATGTTTGTTGTATATCTCTCTGTGCAGGACTGTGTGTGTTTGTGTATACACACACATAGATTGGTCTGCATGTATCTGTGTGTATCTGTGTGAGACTATGTTTATCTGTGGATGTCTTTGTGTGTCTAGGTATATGCCTGTCTTTGTATGTATGTCTTATATATATGTATCTGTGTGTGTCAGTGTGTATGTGGTGTACACATCTGTGTATGTCTGTGTGTCTCTCTATGTAGTG